AAAGCCCCCCCCCCCCCCCCCCCCTTAAACAAAAGGATAAAAAAAGGATAAAAAGATAAACAAAAGGAGATCGTCTGAGCGGCTGATAATAAAATAGGCAGAGTTTTCACTTAAAATCAGCAGCTTCGTTCTGATCACTGGAGAGTTAATTCCGTGCGGCGACACTCATTATCTGTAATACTGCCTGTAAGATTCTGTGTTGTATTTCGGGTAGGTGAGATCCTCAGAATCCTTGCTTGACGTTCCTTGGAAATTGATTTTATGTAAGCTGCGGTTTTCCCTTGTTTATAGGCCTTGAAGAGTATTCTAAGATCGTGCCTTCTCATTTGTTCCTTGAAAGGGTTCCACTGCAGTTGTTTCATAGTTGGGGAAATAGGATCGACTTTTCCAAGTCCGTCAATGAATTTCGCGGCCAAGTTGAGCAGTTTCTGCATTATATGTGGTCAGTGCTGATGAGGCTGCATTTCTATGGACTGATAGTAAGAGATATAAGGAAGGACGAGATACTCTGTGGTCATGAATTCTATGGTCACTATGGAAATTAATTTCATTTAGTTGAGGGGAATTCAGAACTTCGGGCCAGATGCGAGGTTGAGATTAATATGAATATATTTTCACCATGGTTTCCGAGATAAATATATTTTTGCATCATGATAAAGTAAGCTCTAAACGTTCTGACCCTTTGAACCCTTACATGAAGCCGAATGTGTTATTGGTACTAACGAAGATGAGATGCCGCTTTCAATACAGGGAGATTCATATGATGATTTTCGTATGCCTTTCCCTGTTGTGTTTTACAGTTGCAATGGACACATACCGGACACACAATCTATGGCATAATATTTTTCGTCTTCCCGCTGCACATTTCCATTGTTTAGGTCGCATTATCAACATCAGAGAGAACGTTGTAGCTTTTCTTATCAGAATGCAAACTCGCGCCAGTGAAGTGTCTCGTTCCAGAAAAAAAAAAGTTGAAATTAAGGTTTTTTTTTGGAATCACTCAATAAAAATATCATCTCATTACTCTGTGCGCTGAACGAGAAACTGCAGGTGTGGACTTAAGTCAGGTTTTGAATATAGCCTAAGGTGAGGTTTCAACTTCAAATAAAAAATGTTTGCTGGCTATAACAAATCCTTCAGTCTTGTCAAACGAGGAGCAAAACCTAACGTCGAATTTATGCGCCTGAAATAAAAGCCAATGAAATAGTATAATCTCTTTTAACGAACATCGTTGAAAGGTGTCACCTCCGGGCGAGAACGTGATCGCATGGTACGACAGCGGACCCCAGAGACCCTGGTGGGAGAGATACCAGCCGGTCTCATACAGACTGGAGACGCGGTCCGGCTCTGAATCGCAATTCCAGGACATGGTCTCGAGGTGCAATGCCGCCGGTGTCAGGTACGATCATAGCTTGTTTCTTCGGTTGTTTCGGATTCACTTTCCCTCATTCCCGAAGGTGTCGTGGTCGATGGTACCTGCAAAACTGTCAGGGAGTGCAATCGAACGGAGAAACCCATTTGCAGCTGATGTCGTGCAAAAAGAAACAAAGTTGACCGTAGAAATCGCGTCTCGTAACATCGAGCCCCCATCGAATGAAGCTCCGAATCCATTCTTGTGAAAAGCTAAAATATGCTCCTTTGCATTGTTTCCTACACACTCCAGGTATTCTCCGATCTAATCTGTAGATCATGAGTCTGCTCTAAGTGAATAGAGTCCCTAAAGAGAAAAAGAGCCCCCCTACTTTTCAAGGTTCTCTATGAAGCGCATGTTTCGATGCCTACTAACTTCATGACTCAACGGTAGGGTGCAGTGATATGCACGAAGCTATACAAAAGTAGTCCGATGCACCTGGCATTGACGACATGGACCGATGCTGGCTTAAAATTTGTTATTCTTCTTGGTCTCCCCATCAGGACTAGAAAGGTCGGATGACGATATATGCACACTGAGAAGAGGTGAAAACCTGAATTAACTTGTACCTAAGGAAAGGGATAAACGAGGAGTAATGATATCCTGAACAAGACAAGAACGTCTTCGGTCGGCCATTTTGTACTGCCCAAAGCCTTAGGCCATGGACGAAGACGATAATGGACTATGATGGTTAGAGGGCTGTAAACACGTTCCATGATTTAATGACAGGATTTACGTCGATGCTGTAATCAATCACATGACGGGATGGTGGCCGTCGGGGACCCCGGCAACTGGGGGATCTTCTTTTGATGCCGGCTCTCTCAGTTACCCTGACTTCTCGGGCTCTGACTTCAATGGACCCAACGAGTGCCCATCTGCATCTGGTAACATCGAAAATTACCAGAATCCCATCGAGGTACGGAAGTTTATTCCATCTTCTCGACGGTATCCGAAAAGGAACCTTAATGAAGTTTCCCTAAAAATTTCTGAAGGTACGGAACTGCAAGCTGGTCGGCTTGAACGATCTGAAGCAAAACAGCGACTATGTGGCCGGAGTCTTAGCGGGATACATGAACAAGCTGATCGACTACGGAGTGGCCGGATTCAGAATAGACGCCTCCAAACACATGTGGCCTGGTGATCTCGGTAGCATCTTCAGCCGGCTCTCAAATCTCAACACGAATCACGGATTTCCATCTGGGACGAGGCCGTTCATCTTCCAGGAAGTCATCGATCTTGGTTCGTTTACCTTCCTTCCCTTGATACGTCCTGATTTGTAATGCACATTCAAGTCAGACTTTTTTAGCATTGCATTCAGTAGACCCTTCAAAAATCGAGACGTGGATATGATTGCAGTTCAAGAACTGAAGCGAGTATTTTAGTTATTACACAGTAATTGATGAATTGATAGCAACAGAATGTAGATTTTTTGGGTGCACACGCATGAATCATCAGAACATTTGTCTGGAATGATCTAGTAATCATTCCAAACTCAAGTTCAAAGATGTGTCAGCTTATATACTGTATAATACTAGATGGCCAAAAGAACTAGGACTAGGGAAAGTTCCATAGCGTGAGAAGAAAGCATCTTGGATTCTTCCACTGACATCCGCTAATTTGATATCGGATGGAAAATAAACTTTTCTCCCAAATTTTGTACTGATCATTTGATTGCAATTTTTCGGAGTCACCTATTCATGTCAAATGACGCACATTGTAAATTCCCTGCCAATATCTCAAGTGATGTTCCGTCTGACAGCATTTTATGTTGGGAACTTTTTTTTTTGGGGGGGGGGGGGCGGAATGTGCATAAAAATATGAAACGAAGAATTTAAAAAAAGTAAAGATTACAATGAAACATCTGTCTCTCATCTCACAGACTGAGTCTATCACTCAGTCTATATTTTTTTTTTTTTTTTTTGTTTTTTTTTTGGTTTTTTTTTTTTTTTTTTTGGGGGGGGGGGGGGCACACGATATGTGGGTGTTCGTTGGACGAGGAGTGAATGTCTCTGGCCGATTGCCGATATTTTTTGGATGCCCTGACCGGAAATGCTTTCAGAATCACTCAGACAAACTTCGTGTTCGTTTGGGAAATCTACGGATGAAACCTACTTGATGAAACTGCCTGATGAAAGGGCATAAGACTGCAGTTTAGGGGGCACCCATAAAATTTCTCTGGCTGACTGGAAGTCTCCCTTCAGATATGACAAAATCTCATTCTAGCAAAAAGGAAAGGAATACTGTGAAAACTTAATTTTTCACGGACAGAATGCTCATGTCTAGGAATTCCATAATATGGTAAGGGAACCGAAACCTGAGAGTATTGACGGGATAGTTACCGATAATCGGTGTTCTCTCGCTGCCTGACTATCACGTTTGCTTCTGGTTTCAAAAATGAAGAGAGAAATTTCTCAATGTGGGTCTTGTCATTAAGGTGGAGAGCCGATCACTGGAAGTGAATACGTGGGCAACGGACGAGTCACGGAATTCAAGTACGGCAAGTTCCTGGGCGAAATTTTCCGCAAGCAAAATCAACTCCAGTACGTCGAAAACTTCGGTAAGCCTCGGACTCCAACCCTTCCATTCGTATTTTAGAGTCAACAAAATTAAAGAAAGAGTTTTTCGTTGCATTTTTCACTGGGCGAAACTTGGAGACAAATTTTCTTTATCCTCGTGAGGATTAAGGATATTAGCCCCCTTTCTTTGATTTCAAGCCGATGATCGTTACCCAAAATTTGTTTCATGAGCCAACGCAAGGAAATAGCAAGGTAGACCATAAAGAGGGTGGCGGCTGCATTTTAAAGACCGAATTTCTGCATGAAATCTCAGTGAGGGCAGCCTCGATTGCCGGGAGAAAATTATTACTATCCTCCCGCATTCATTTGCTCCGAGAAGTCTTAATCGCTCCCCTGGAAGAAGAAGGCCAGATTAAGGAGGTTCTTGTGCCACTTACTCAAATAATCATTACCACATTCAATAATAATTGAGTTTCGGTTGCACGAGATGGTAACTGTATCCATAGTGTCTGTTATGAGCAGCAAGAAGGGTATGAAGGAGTTTCCAGAGTAAATGAAGATGAATGCTGCAGGTGAGGGTTGGGGAATGCTGGCTGGAGGTAATGCCGTGGTGTTCACCGACAACCACGACAATCAGAGAGGGCATGGAGCCGGAGGAGACATGATCCTCACCTTCAGGGTTCCAAGACTTTACAAGGTCAAGCTCCACTCACAAAGTCTATCAAGTCTAGCAGTCACAAATGTTTATTTTAAGGGTTTTTTCCCCCCCTTCCCTTAATTGCAGATGGCTAATGCATTCATGTTGGCATGGCCCTACGGATATCCCAAGGTCATGTCGAGCTACTACTGGGACCAGAATTGGCAAGGTGGACAGGTCAGTGTACAGTATTTGTTGTAGGGAGACTTTCCGCCTAGGAGTGAATTCTCCAGATCCCTGCTTCACTTAAACATTCCATCCCAATTTTTCAGGATCAGAACGATTGGGTCGGACCGCCACATGACGGAAATTACAACACGTTGCCTGTGACAATCAACGGAGACGGATCGTGTGGGAATGGCTGGATCTGCGAACATCGTTGGAGACAAATCACCAACATGGTCCAGTTCAGGAACAATGTCGGACGTTAGTTTCCTCCATTGAGTACTGGCACAACTTTGAGGAACCCTATGAAATAATTTATGAGACAATTTTGAATGATAGATAGATAGACTGAGTGATAGACTCAGTCTGTGAGATGAGAGACAGATGTTTCATTGTAATCTTTACTTTTTTTTAATTCTTCGTTTCATATTTTTATGCACATTCCGCCCCCCCCCCCCCAAAAAAAAAAGGTAATAATAAACCCTGGGTGTTTACACCAGCAATTCCTTATAACAATCGTTTGTTTTAAAAATTTTCCCCTCCCCTGCTGCCGTCGGAATGGGATTTTCCCTTCTCCGATTATTGATCCTCATCCTTTTCAGCAATGACCAAAAAATGTGTAGCTGAAAGGTGGATACAAATGGAATCATCCATAGCTGAATTTACGCAATTTGCCGTCATCGTGGCATGCGATAAGAAGAAATCCATACAAAATTTTAATATTGTAACGACTGAAAACGCCCAGGGAGAGGGACATTATTCTTTGAAACGACATATACTTATAAGTTCCCGTTCTATTTTCATTAATTTTGCCCTTCGACAGTCGAACCGGTGGAGAACTTCTGGTCGGGCACGGCACATCAGATCGCTTTCTCTCGAGGCTCGTCTGGATTCATCGCCATCAACAACGACGATTCTGCCTCTATTCAAGGAGACTTCATGGTATGAAACTTCTTTTTTTTTTCTACCAGTGGTTCCGCCGCGCAGAGGGTTCATCGCTTGCCTCTCTGCATAGACGGGTCTGCCGGCTGGGGACTATTGTGACGTCATCAGTGGTTCGCTGGAAAACGGCTCATGCACTGGGAAGGTGATCACCGTCAATGGTAGTGGAATGGCTAACATCAACATCTCTGCCTCCGAAGAGGATCCTGTCATCGCCATCCACACTGGGGTACGATCGTGACACTGGCTATGTTCAGATCTTAAGCTTATGATTCGATGGTTTCTGAGCACCAACTCTTCTTTCTTCATCTCTTTACAGGCAAAAAGGGGTGAAAGGGCACCAGGCCGACATGTCAAGGTGTGAGGATGACCACGATTTGTCATATGTCCCAAGCGAAATACAAATAAATGCTTGACATATGCAAGTGGAGCACTTCACTTTCTAAATTGTGTTGGACAAGCCAAAGGGGCTAGTCTATATGTAGTGGAAGGATCACAAAAAAATCCTAACCTCGAATGATCTATATAGCTATCACGTGGGGCCAACATCAAACGCTGACGTGCGACGCGACTTATCAAGCTCTTAAAGAGGTCTGGCGTAAGCTTCTATTCTGGGTCGAGCAACAAAAACGCGACTTGTGTGAGGCTTTATAATATCTGCTTTGGATAATCTATATAAGTGATTTTTTCGTATCCCATAGGAAACACTAAAAAATATGTATCCTGAAAGATTCATGTATCGAGGTCGTCTGAATAAAAAGCGACAGTCACTCAAAGTGGAGTCATAAAATATACCCTTTCCGCGCATGAGGTGCATGTCGTTCCAGCACTGTAAAAATCATTTCTCTCTCTTTGACATCATGAAGGCTGCTTTTTATGCAGTCTTCGTGGTAGTATTTTACGTTGTAGAATAGTGCTAATGTCGTGCGTCGTTGTATCGGAATCGATACTATCTACTTTAGTTGTTCTCTCCAAACTGAATTCCAAAAAGTAAGACATGGAGTCCAAATGGAAATTTCCTTCGGAGTGACAAGGGTAATACGCAGTTCCAAAATAATATTGAGTGGTGGAAAAGCAGAGAGCTTGATAAATCCCTCTGTGTTTCCTCCATCGCCCAATCAAGACTCCTTCACGGGGGGTTCCAATTGAGCACATTCTCTCCTCTTCCCTGATGACTGAAACAGATCACATACGGTTAGAATCCCTTTTCCTACCGTGATAACATCCTTACAGCCACGGGTCCATGCGCGTACCATCGCACGGCTGGTCAAAGAAAAAAGGAAATATCAACAGTGGAAGTGGATCCTCCCGCTTGCGTAGAAATAAGCAATTTGAAATCGAACCTCGGACAACTGCGTGTGGTGGACGACACCAAGTTTCGATCCTTTTGCTAAGTCAGGTCTCACCACAAGAAAAACCGCAGCGCAATGTTTCTGTTCGAAAATAAGGAGACCGTAGTGTCTGTTGGGTGCCCCGAAAAAACGCCCACTGAAAAAATGCCCACGGAAATAATGCCCGCAGTAAAAACGCCCACAAGAAAGAATGCCCACGGAATAAACGCCCATACCTGCAAAGTACGAAAAAATGCCCACATGCGTATTTTCAAATATATCTTGCGGCTTCTTTTTTATTTGTAAAAACAAATGCAGTTAAATTTTCCAAACGTGATATATAACCATTGAATTCATTAAATATATCACATCTATCAACATAATAAACCATGAATATGAAGAAAATTCCCAAGATTCCAGAACGCTTCAACGTTGGATCAACGAAAGGAGTATTCTTTACGGGAATGCTAAGGAAAACAATGCCCACGGAATAAACGCCCATACCTGCAAAGTACGAAAAAATGGCCACATGCGTATTTTCAAATATATCTTGCGGCTTCTTTTTTATTTGTAAAAACGAATGCAGTTTAATTATCCTACCATGATATATAACCATTGAATACATTAAATATATCACATCTATCAACATAATAAAACATGAATATGAAGAAAATTCCCAAGATTCCAGAACACTTTAACGTTGGATCAACGAAAGGAGTATTCTTTACGGGAATGCTAAGGAAAACGTGAGGAAAAAGTAACTTGAGATAAGATCTGGTGCGTGGAATTTTGCTGCTAATTCACCTGTCCTTTGGACCGATTTCAATAGTAATGGAGTAATTAAAGTGTGGCATGCCACGTTTGACATGAGAAGGTCCGGTTGCCTACAATTATCTTGGAGGTAGGGGCGTATTGATCCCGAGGAAGGCGGAAAGATAAGCTCCATACAGATGAGCGAGCGGCCAAGACGTGTGACGAGCCAAATGTTATCTACTCGCAAGCCATGATGCATTTGGATGACGATGCTCGTGCGCTTTTGCCATCAGAGGCATCCATCAAACGAACTCTGCAAAATCAACGCAGCTTTTTATGGCAATGCCATAAATGAGATGCTTTTCTGCAGAATAAAAAATTAATAAAAATCCGAAAAATATTCACGTGGGCATTTTTTCGTACTTTGCAGGTATGGGCGTTTTTTCCGTGGGCGTTTTTTTCGTATATTCGTCTGTTGCTAGCGATCTTTGGAAAGACAAGGACATCTGGGAAGTTACGCGAATGAGTGTGTCGTATCTTTGGCAAACGGAACATTTCCTGACCAAGTGTTGATATAATTGCAGTATTCATATAATCATCGTTTTCGTTTTTATCACAAGGGACTTGTGCCGAAGAGGACTGAAGAATAATATCCTGGTATTTCCTTCCAGGCACAGAATGTCAGATCGAATTGCGTTACAGAAAGTATTTTTGGCTATCTCTTTCATGTCCCCATAATTTCTTTTGCGCTCATATGGGCAACGTGTCTCACTCATGAGAGAGGCAAAAGGCAGTCGGAATTCTCAGCGCAACTGAACGCACCTGTGTTATGCGCATGCGCAATCAAAAGATGTATTTTATGAAACCAGACACTTTGCTCAGAGCTAGTCATTCCTTTCCGAGATCTGACTATCCTCGCACCCCGGATTCGGACCTCCCTGTGACCACACCAACCTACATTGGTGTCCCCAGCCTGGGGGAAGGCTTGATTACATTTAGTTAAAATAGCATAAGTAAGAGCAGAGATATATTAATTTAAATTATTTTTACCATGCCCTGTAAATTGAGAGGACTCCAAAGGGAAAGAGCATTCACAAGGTACACATAGCATCCATGACTTAATGTTGACTCAATGTCCGAATGTGCATTCAATGCCGATTCAGTATTCACCATGGTATATGCTCCTTTGGTGATTCCTCTTTAAAAAAAAAAAAAAAAACTATGCATAAAGGTTCACTTTTTTCAAATGGAGGGAATACGACCCTCTTTTCCATATTCAGTTGCGTCTCAGGTCCTTCAACAGGTACTGTATAGGAAGGCTTTCTACGAAGCATGAAAACAAGACTGAGAGAGAAACCCTTACAAAACGTCCACACCCTATCCACCTGGTCAAACAACCACGTGGGTAGGAGGTGGATTTGGAATCATGTGGACGTCCCCCCGGTGGAAATCCACCAATCAATTCGCGCCCATCTATTTCGAGTCAGGTGGATTTTCCCCCAGGTGGACATCGCTTCAACAGGTGGAAAATACACCTAGGGGGACATCTACCTCGTTCCAAATCCACAGGGGGTGGATGTTTTGTAAGGGAAGGTATTGGGAAGGCGTTGAGGCAATTCAATGTACTCATTGCCCACTAGTGCCCAGCATGGAGAGACCAAGAACCTCACTCTAGGATGGCAACACTTGATTTAGTTATGTAATGTATCTAAAAACCTCCTCAAAAAGCAGCTTCGAACCTTAGAGAAATTGACATCTGTTATGGATCCGTGATTTCGCAAGCAATCCGCCTCGAGATAAGGAGTGGAAACGCGTCACAGGCACAATATAAATAGCTCCTAACGACGTAAAATCTTCTAATAGGATCCAAGATTTCAAGATGAAATCGCTGATTCTCCTCTGTCTCCTGGGTCCCCTCGTGAAGGGCCAATGGGATCCGAACGTCCAGTCCGGAAGGAGTACCTTCGTCCATCTGTTTGAATGGCGGTGGGAGGACATCGCTGCGGAATGCGAACGGTTCCTCGGCCCCAAGGGATTCGCGGGTGTCCAGGTAATCTCGACAAGGCCACTTAATTTCATTTGGACGATTTCAATTCAGAATTTGGAGATGATGCAAGATTACTTTGAATATATTTTTATTATCAAGGATCCCGGGACAGAAAGCGTATTTGTAACATGATAACAAGTAAAGCTCAATTTGTTATTGAATTCTTGAAAACAACCAAGTGAAGCTGTATGTACAGTAGGTAAAAGCAAAAAAGAAATGATTCTTGCTATATGGCGAGAAGCGTGTTAAGGTTTGCATCCATCAAACCAGTTGTCAGCTGTTTCCCCTTCCGGGATCAGTTTCCCAACAAAACTTTTGTTTTCCAACAAAGAAGCGATTGAAAGTGAGTCTAGGATCGTTCATTAAAAAGACTTCTTCCATTAATCTACGTGTTGAACGGAAAACTGTTACTGCAGGTGGGGGATAGATTTTTAAAATGCCCAAAAAGCGATGATTGAATTGAATTAAGAGAATTTGGCAGCTATAGTTTGAACAGTTCAGTTTAGACATATAACGAACTTGACCTGTCATACTTGGGCGTCAGAAATGATGTAGTAGCTATTATTTTAAAGCGTTATTTTTGAAAGGTTTCACCTCCGAGCGAAAACGTGGTAGCATGGTACAACGACGGACCCAAGAGACCCTGGTGGGAGAGATACCAGCCGGTCTCATACAAACTGGAGACGCGGTCCGGCTCTGAATCGCAATTCCAGGACATGGTCGCGAGGTGCAACGCCGTCGGAGTCAGGTACGATCATCGCTGGGCTTCTTGGTTGATGCTTCACTCTACGTCTTTTCGGATTCAATCCACCTAGCTTTCAGAGGATGTCGTTTTCGAGTGTGCCAGTGAGACACATACCTAACCGGTCTTCATTAACAGCGGAGCAAAAGAGCACATTCGCACCTGGCGTCACAAGCAGAAATGAACAAAGAGGACAGTACAAATTATTTCTCATACCACCATACCTTAGAACGAGAGTCCGAATCCCTTCCGCTCAACACTCAAGGCGTTCGCGACCTCATTTGAAAATCATGATACAGCATCAGTGAAGAGTATGATGCGACACCCACTAGAAGAGAGAGGGATCAACTAACTTTCACAACTCGACTGTAAGATGCATAGAACACAGTTTAAAATGAAACAGCCGGGTGGGGGGGGGAGAGAGGTTCGAAAGCCAATGCGAGAACTGTGTTAGCTCTCATTATAGGGGGGACATTGAACCTTACACCTGGTAATACAGAAGAAGCTGACCATATAAGAAGCGCCAAAAGGGCACAATGAAAATCTGCCTTGTATGCACCCAGAAAAAAAGGTGAGACTCCGGATTCAATTTTCACTATGGATACGGACAGGATATCCTGAAGTAGATTCGTTGCGCATTTGGTAAATTAGGTAAATTATTCTGCATTCCATAAAGACTGGCGTCACGATTAAAGATTATAATATGTAAGAGGACTTCCCCATTGATGCTTCATTACAGAATTTACGTGGATGCTGTGATCAACCACATGACAGGAGGGTGGCCGTCGGGGACCCCGGCAACTGGGGGGTCTTACTTCGATTCTGGCTCTCTCAATTATCCTGATTACTCTGGCTGGGACTTCAATGGTCCCAACGAATGCCATTCTTGGTCTGGTAACATCGAAAACTACCAGAACCCCTCCGAGGTACGAAAATGCATTCGACTTGGGCGGAAATAGGAAACGATTCTTAAACATTTTCCATTGATGTCTCTGAAGGTACGGAACTGCAAGCTGGTCGGCCTGAATGACCTGAAGCAAAGCAACTCTTACGTATCCGGAGTCTTGGTAGGATACATGAACAAGCTCATCAGCTACGGAGTGGCCGGATTCAGAATAGACGCCTCCAAACACATGTGGCCTGGTGATCTCGGTAGCATCTTCAGCCGGCTCTCAAATCTCAACACGAATCACGGATTTCCGTCTGGGACGAGGCCGTTCATCTTCCAGGAAGTCATCGATCTCGGTTCGTAGAACTTTTTAGTCTCGATCGGTCCTAATCCGACGATGTAAGGCTCCTGAGAATCTTTTGGTATGGCATTAGCAGGTCTGTAGATGATCGGGATAGGGATGAAATGCGAGCAGTTCAACTGAAGCAAATGAGCCACCTTCGAGCATTTTAGTTCGGAGATCATAGGTGATGAATTGAAATTAAGAAAACGCGTTTGTGCGCTTGCACACAAATCAACGCCTGTAGAATTGTCTGGTATCATCAATGGACCATTCCAAACTCTGTCCTAATATGTATTGGCGTTCGGGTACGGATTTTCAGGGGAGATGGAGGGAATTTCTTTTGGAATGATTTCTGGTCTTACGGATGCCCTGAATATTTTTGGGACCCAACGTGATACCGGTATTCCATGTGTTGAATGAGCACATCCATGAAACATATCTCAAGAGTGTTCAAGTGATTTATATTCATCGATTCAAAGTCTCTCTTTAGAGACTTTGAGGGCATTTCATTTTGGCAAAAAGGGTCGAAAAGCTGCTACGAGTTTTTTTTCACGAACAAAATGTTCATGCGATGAATCATTCCATTGCACAGCACGGTAACTGGTACCAAAGAGTACCGATTGCTCAGCTCATCATTAGAACATAATGAAGCCGATTTCATTCGCTGACAGACAGGTAGCAGGATCACAAGGTGAAGATCTCATCATCTGCATGGATGGGCTCGATGAATCATTCTTGTCAGTTTCCCCTCGCTGCATGGCACTTGAACGTTTCCTGGCATTATAACGTTACGAATGCACAAACATTTTGACCGTTGAAATATCCCCAATTCAGGCGGAGAGCCGATCACTGGAAGCGAATACGTGGGCAACGGACGAGTCACGGAATTCAAGTACGGCAAGTTCCTGGGAGAAATTTTCCGCAAGCGGAATCAACTCATGTGGGTTCAGAACTTCGGTACGCTCTGGGTTCCACTCTTCTACATCGAATACAAAACTCCAACAATTTGTAATTTTTTCTTCTCCAGTATTCATTGGAGGACGCTTAAAGACAAATCCTTCACTTGCTCAATTTCGTTGATGTTACCAAATCCATGATTGTGAAGTATAAATTGCTCCACTAGTCAATGTAAGTAAAAACCCAGATAGGCAACGAAGTTCTTCGGTTGAATTGTTGCGATTTAACTTTGGGTCTTTTTATTATAAAAAATATCTGAAAATCTAAATGCAAATTCAAAGAGACGAAAAAGATGAGTTTATTTCGATCGATTTTTCGCTGTGAAGTATGGTTTTCACTAAGAGGTATGGCAATCGCATTACTGCTGGTCATGACACGTCACCATTCTCAATTTTTTTGCCTCGGGACTCGGTGACCCTACCTCTCTGAAGCTAATTCTTAAACACCAAAGACCCCCCCCCTCGGAATAGAAGTAATTATGCGGACTCCCTATGCTATCGTGTAAGGTTGTAAATGAAAGAAATAACTGAAAATAATCATGATGAAGTAGTATTTAGAAATGCGACTTGCACACTTGCAGAACCGAAATTCATAGAATAGGTGAAACACTTTTACTTCATTGCATGCCATCAACCACAGACGAAATTTTAAAAAATTCCCAACTCCTGAGGATAATGTTTTTTTATTATTTTTTTAAACGTAAAGCTGGAGTTTTTATTTAAATGCCAGGAAGGCCAAAAAAGGCCCCAACTGTAAATGTCTTCAAACGGAATAAAATTGTAGATAGCACCAGGAAATTTATGTGTCAAATTCCGCGTGAATACGAGCGTAGATATCTTTTATTTGTTTTTCAAAGAAATTGGGTCTTCAAAACTGGAGTAACCGATACGTCAAATTAGGGATTGTCAGTGTTTATACTTTACTGAATCAAAGCAAATAGACTTGCCGACCAAAGTCCAGCTGAGCAGGCAAACGGATGCAGACACACTTGCTAATTTGACATCGTGCGAAAAAAAACTGTCATTCGAATTCTGAAAATAAACCATAGAAACGCGCATTTCGCGATAGATCGCGAAATCTTCTAATCGGGTAGGACGTGACACTCTTCTCTGCAATTATAGCGTCCGTCGGCGGGCATATGAGCTATCGGGTACACTTGCCGGCGTTTTAATTAGGTTTTTTTAATAAATAAAAATAAAAATAAAAAAAGCCTGCAACATCAGTGTATCGAAGCAATCACATTTTGGGGAATTGCTGCTATGACGTTGACATGCCAATACCCCTAACTCATTAATGATTCATTTTCTTCTTCACCATTGCCCTCTCGATACTATTCCAAACTATTTAGAGTCCAAATACTGTATATTCCCTTTCTTTCGAATTCCCCTGAGATTCAGAAACTAACACGGGCCACGAACTGCTCTAAAGATGCTCCATTATACTGTAGATATCTTCAACTGGCAGGGCTACCAAATTGCGCATTCAGTAAATATTGTTCCGTTTTGTGGTTCTGTTTCATTTGTTTTTGACAAGCAGGTCTTCAGCGAGCCAGATGCATTTTCACCTTCTAAGGCGGTGATATAATTAAGGGCGTAATTGATGTAATTACTTTGTCATATCATACAAGACAAAGTAGCTAGACAAACTTTGAAACGATAGTTCCTGGCTTTGATGATATCATTTTTGTGTATCATAAAAAAATCAATTTCATGCCAACGAAATTTCCTGTAAGAAAGGCGGGATTCTTGACGGGGAGAGGCACGATGGTCTCCCCCCAGCGGTGAGTCTTTTTCTTTTCGTTCACTTTCTTTCTGGAACTTGTTCACGGCCTTTCCGCAGTTCCCCGGTCGAGAAACGTTGCTATTGACCACACAGGAGCTCGGGAGCGAGTCATTAGCGAAGCTAGACTGGTGTTTCCCCTTCTTTTGACAGACTAGCAAGGGATGATAGGTCCTTCCCAATCGCAACAGATATTGAATCTTTTTGTTATTGCAAAAAGAACATTTTGCTCTTTTCTCGCACATGCAACAGGCGACGATAATTGAATACTTGGTAGTGCTAGAAGGTGACTGTATCCAGGGTATATGACACGAGCAGCAAGTCCGATGCAGAGAATGTTATCGAGTAAACGAAATGTTACAGGTGAGGGTTGGGGAATGTTGCCTGGTAGCACTGCCGTGGTGTTCGTCGACAACCACGACAATCAGAGAGGGCATGGAGCCGGAGGAGACATGATTCTCACTTTCAGGGTTTCGAGACTTTACAAGGTCAAGCTCCTCTTACAAATCCCTGAATTCTACCAGAATCGAATGCTAATTTTGAGGGTTTTTTTTTCCTTCCCTTAAATGCAGATGGCAAATGCATTCATGTTGGCATGGCCCTACGGATTCCCCAAGATCATGTCGAGCTACTACTGGGACCAAAATTGGCAAGGTGGACAGGTCAGTTAGAGTATTTGTTGTAGGGAGACTTTCCGCCTAGGAGTGAATTCTCCAGATGCCTGCTTCACTTGAGCCTTCCATCGGAATTTTTCAGGATAAGAACGACTGGATCGGACCACCACATGACGGAAATTACAACACGTTGCCTGTGTCCATCAATTGGGACGGAACGTGTGGGAACGGCTGGATCTGCGAACATCGTTGGAGACAAATCACCAACATGGTCCAGTTCAGAAACTATGCCGGATGTTAGTTTCCTCCACTGAGCGTTTCGCATGACTTTGAAAAACCAATGACAATGAACAATAAATGAAAAATAAATGTAAATCTATCACTCAGCATTTGAGAGGAGACCTGAAAGTCTCATTAAGCTAAATTTGAATTATCAATAGATGGAAGCTAGCCTTTACATTTGTTATATAATTCACTTCTTATAATATTTCTGTTATGTTGTGAAGATGCTCACGCGAATCCCCACACATAACATTCCTTGCCAAGAAAAACCTCTTCACTTCTCGTGGCAGTTTTAGTGGATACGCTCCCTTCCTTTCCCTTTATTGGTCCTCATCTCGTTCAATGATTGCAATAAACTGCGGTTTTCTAGAAAGGTAAGTTTCTGACTATTGCAATTTTCCGCCATCGCGCAAGCTATAAGAGGTGATCTTAGGGGGTACGAAAGAAGACTGTATCATTTGTAAATCGCCCAGAGAGAGAGGACCTATTTCTACTAAAATAATTTATACTTCTGAGTTCTTAAACAATTCCCAACATCGAATGAGCACTTGTGTTCTTTGACAGTCGAACCGGTGGAGAACTTCTGGTCGGGCACGGCACATCAGATCGCCTTCTCTCGAGGCTCGTCTGGATTCATCGCCATCAACAATGACGATTCTGCCTCCATTCAGGGGAACTTCATGGTATGAACCTTTTCTTTTCCTTCTGTGGTTCCAACGCGCGGAAGAATCATTGCCTTCCTCTTTCCATAGACGGGTCTGCCGGCTGGGGACTATTGTGACGTCATCAGTGGCTCGCTGGAAAACGGCTCATGCACCGGGAAGGTGATCACTGTCAACGGCGGTGGAATGGCATATATTAACATATCTGCCTTCGATGAGGATCCTGTCATCGCTATCCACGTTGGGGTACGATTGCGAAAAATGCGTTGATCAAGGCATAAACTTATTATTGGTAGAGTTTTGAAAACACATTTTCTGTCTGCATCTCTCGGTAGGCTAAAAAAGGCTAAGGACCATCAGGCTGTGATGTGAAGCCGTGAGGATGATCACGAGAATCCTTGTCTGGTATGCCTATATAAATAAAGAGCAATGCTTAACATACTTTTAAGGAGAGTACTTCAATCTAAATGTTGTACTAGACAAGCTGAAGGACTCAGGCTCTATCATGTCCACAAAGAGGTACACTGTATTCCCTCAATATCTTTATTTGTTCCATTAGTTAAATTAGGCTTAACCATCATACTTCAAGCTTTATCGCGTTTCGATGAACGGTTAAAAAATCACAGCATTTCAAAGTTTCCTCAACGGCCATTTTTTAAATTATTGATTCATTATTACTCACGAGGAGTTAAAATATCTATTTATGGCTTCATTTAAATTAACGTGCGTCTGTCAAGTATCTTCAACTGAGCTGATATTCATCTGGATGGTGCCAGTGAGTGTCAGGTTCATGTTGGAAGCCTGCTTTCTCGTTAGATGTCGTCTGTGTATTCTTCTTCTTGCGTATGGCGGGGGGATTAATCAATAACATTTATAAGCTCATGTCAAGGTTGGAGATCCAATTCGAGGCCATTGGGGTAAGCTCGTGGATATCGTCCAACGGAGTGGGCACTGATGGATATCGTGCTGGATGGTTTGGTTTTCGAAGCCGCAGTCACATCTGGGGGTGGTCTTGATTTTCCACCAGTGCAAGAGATGGGCGCAACGGCCGTGCGAGGTGCGGATGCGGTTTAGCATGGTCTACTGCTTTCTTGGCAGGTCGAAGCCAACAACTTCTGATCCCACCGTTTGGGACGATGGCTTTGACCCACATGGCTTTCCACTGTTCCTCCTTGTCTAAGGAGGACTCGTCGAGAGCAATAGCTCTGACCCAGGGCGGGTTCCAGGGTTTTAGCCGGGTCCTCGCGCCTAAAAAATCCAGGAGTAATTAACCTTCTAGTCCCAACCGAAAATAAGCCGATTTCTACGCACTACAGACGCGCAGAGACGCCTACAACCCTCCACCTTATACCCTCTCACAACCATCGGTAAGAACAGGGGTGGATTTTAGAGTCCCCGAAATCAGACGCATCGATGCGTTGATTTGGGCGTCCAAGCCCTTGGTGTGTGTACTGCTCGACCAAACAGGAGTACAGTATTCTGCAGGCGAGTAAACCAGTGCTTGTGACGCTGTTCGTAGTGTGCGCGACCCGGCACCCCATGAGGTTCCGGCCAGTTTGACCACGACACTGACCCTAGCCTTCACTTTGTCGTGTGTCCTTTCGAGGTGGGGTCTGAAGGTGAGGCTGAGGTCCAGGGTAACGCCTAGATATTTTGACTTGGCCTCATTATTTACATGATGGCCGCAGACGGAGACAGGAAGAGTTTCTTTAGCGGCGCGGTTGTTGAGGTGGAATGCGGTGACTGATGTTTTAGTCGGGTTTGGGCGTATTCTCCATCTTTTGAAGTACTTTGCTAAAGTGTCCAGGTTAAAGTGAGGATGTCGCCTATGGCGGAGAGTGTGGCACCCTGTGACGCGAGCGCAATGTCGTCGGCGTACGCAAACTTTCTGGAGGTTTTTTACGGTAGATCGTTCGTGCAGAGATTAAAGAGCGTCTGTGCATTGAAATACGTATTTTGAAGAGAGTGGTTGACAGCTGGAGTCAGTCAAGCTGCGAGCCATGGCGTCAACAGGTAGCAAGCTTGTTTCGCGTGAATCGGAAATTCCGGAGATGACTACAAAATAAAAAAGTTGCGAAAAGGCATCGACGACACTTCTGAGCATGTACATAGCTTGAGATCTGAAGAGGAAACACAGCAAAGTAAGCGAGTTCAGCCTATTTTTACGTGGTCATTTCATGAAAAGAGGCACAATGTGCATAATTTTGACAAGTTGACGAAAAGTGAAGTGTAACGAATATATCGGACCCTGTAAGCGCAACTAATTCGGTTTTCTATTATGATCCAAATGAAAATTTAAAGTTTTATTTGTAATTTCCCCAGAAAAATCCAGCTTTGGTAGGTTGTTAGGTGATTTAAAACTCCGCAGAGAAAGGGTTAAATGAAGATCATTTCAATCAGAAATGCAAATGCCAACTTTTTGGTTTTCACAGGCTTCTTTTCCCCTCAATCTACTGGAAGTTAAGAAGGGTTGACCTCTTTGACCTAGTTTTAGACCCTGATAACAACCTCAAGAAAAAAACCGACAAAAATTTAGTCCATCTTTTGAGTAAGTATGGAAAGTTTCAATGATGCAATATTTATATTAGTAATAATTTCCAGTAATAGATATATAGTAAATAATAATTATTTCCTAAGTTTTACCTTATGGCACTGAGTGAGTGCCATAAGGCGTACCCAGAAAATCCCAAAGGGGGGGGGGTTTCATATGCAAAATTGGTAATCCACCCTGCATATATGCCAAAAAAATTTAAAAATCGAACCTGTAAAATGTATCCAAAGGGGGGGGGGGGTTATGACCCCCCAAACACCCCTCCCTCTCCTTGGGCACGCCACTGCATTCACTGCATTTGTCATTAGTCTTTAACGCTTTTGAAGGTTATTTCTCTTGAGTCTCATACGACTTGAATCTCTCTAAAATGAAGAGTATGTCAGTTTCGCTAACTTGGTAGAGATTCGAGCAGATGTCATTTCTAGCTTTGCAACGTGGCGCATCAGACCCCAACTAAATCAACATGATGATCAGGATTAATTTTCACTTCCAAGTGGAGGTCATGTTTTGCAGTTCGCTGGACAGAGCTGTGAGAAATTTACGTTCTTCGGGACATTCGCCTGGCACTCAGGCTTGTCCCTGGGACATTTTTTTGGATGCATATCAGCTTTTTGACAGCCGCGATGTTTGCTGGTGTGCGTGCAGACCGAGGCCGCCCACTGCCCTCGCGTCTCGCGACACTCCCCGTTTCTCTCAATTTCTTCAAAAGGTGGAAAATAGTTCGTCTCTTCCAGTTACGATCGGGAAATTCTTGAATGATTCTTGATACGGAATAATGCTTCTCCAGAAACAGATCTTTAATCAAAATTGTGTCCTCTTCTGACAACACAGTCATTATAATTACGTTAAACACTCACGACACTTCTCTGCTCAAATTGGCGAAAGAATTGTGCGGCTTTTCGCAGAACACCTGTAACGTAGGCCTACTCTTCCTAGACTACACCCACTATTTTCTCACCCCAACATCCACTCGATGGTCCAACACCCAGGAGAAGGGAAGTGAAACGTAGACCTTAGCAGACCTTGGGATGATTGAATGTGCCTGCCGCCGTATGCGGTCGGTGAGTGCAACGCCGATTTTTCGTAACCGAAATGCAAAAATTTTTTTTCCAAGTCATCCTTCAAAATATTTCAAGTCTGGAAAAATTATTTTGTAGCTGAGTCTTTCCTTTTCTCGTTACATGTAAAGGGGAATTTTTTTATGCACCACACTTAAAATGCGCATTGAAAAGAGCGCCATTTTGTGGGCCACACTATAGAATATTACATGCATGAGAATGGAAGAATTATCTTGCCTATGAAAGGGCATCACTACCCAATAGGTCATATAATGGTTTCGTCTTGAGACCACAATGACGTTTTGAGGAAAAAAAATAGAAATGGTTATTTCACAGTGAAACCACTTTGGCGGAATGGGTTAATCCTTTCACGTGAATCCAAATTAATTCAATAGATCTACATCACTGTTAGGAGCAATTCTTTTCAGGATTTTGTGTGATTTCTACTGTCTCAGCTTTCCTTCTGGAATAAGTTTTCCCCATGTCCTCGTATATTACAGAAACCGCCACGGTAACAATTCTGAGCTGCATTTTCCTCAATATTTCGTGCAAATGAAAGATTGAGAAAAATGCATGATCATAACTTTAGTACGTGATTCTTCCAAAAGGATTGCACTTTTTATGGAATTTAAATGCTGAAGGATTTGCCACAGGAGTGTCTATTTTTACAGCCAAGGAAAAAATAAAACATTTCGGAGAGCTATGTGCTATTCGAATTCATCAATATTCATCATTATAAAGATTGGCTATAAAGATTTTCTTGCGATAATGAATGCGACTGCAACTCAACGATCTAGAATCGGATGAAACAGCATCTCGACAGTAAAATACCATTCATGAAATCCATTCAACCGGAAGGATTCGTAGTATCGGGTGTCAATGCGAAATTTGATCTTTCCTTATTTTTTCATGACGGTTATCGTTACAAATCTTCGTGCAATATTCGTAAATTCCAATACAGGCTATTTTTAGGTTGGTGTTTCTTACCATAATGATGTGATATGATTCCCGTAATATTCGAGTTCCTGCCGACTTCCATAACAGGTCTTATACCGGAATATGTTTTTCATAGCGCTTATTTGCATGCTAAGTATTAATAGAGTGAGACCAGAACAGGGTTCTCGTAATTATTTTCCATGAGCAGAATGAGTCGTTTTCTGAGACAATTTGGAGCATTGTTTTCAGAGGATCACATTCTGTAAAATACATCTACATGCACCTCGTCTGTCAGGATTGAACCGATGCATGTGGCTTTAAATTTTGAGACTTTTTTTTTTTACTTTTTGCGCAACAATGCACAAATCTAGCCAATACCTGACATGCTAAGACATGCTAATATCATGGTGCTAAAATTGTTGAGTCTGATATTAGCACTGTCGGGAGGGACTTGAACCTGCAAAAGTTCTACGAGTTCAAATTAATTTATTTATTGGTTGGCATGGTTATTTATGAGTCAGTTTTCACTTGAATACCTGCATATAAGCTTGCAAACAATCAACGCGCCAAATATCAGCAAGCAAATATTGCTTATTTAGATTTATAATAAATTGTGAACATCAGCTGGTACTTCTCATTTTCGCGCAATCTTGGAGTTAGGCAATGATATGGTTTGTATCAAACGGATACGAATTAAGGCATACAAATAAAATACTAGTACATACATGTTACATATGACTTGAGTGAATGTTGCAAAAGGGAGAATCTCACATTAATCGACAGTGGGACAATCGAACTCTAGTGTTCCGCGAGGGATGGGGAAGCAAGTAGCTGGATTCTCGGTAAGCTTCGTCTGTGGACTGTTTTCTGGCGCTTCTTTCGAAAGGTACGGAAAGACAAGGCTCACAAAACTCAGAGTGATGGTGCTAATTCTTGCCATGTGTGCTTGCAGAAATAATGCTCTTTGCCTGTATTAGCTTAGGCGGAGTATTTCACTATTTAAAAACTATACTGCTTTAAAAATAAAAAATACAATTTTTTTTATATAGGAGGCATGAAGAGTTGCCATTTGCCACACGACTTGCAAAGTCGTGAATCAAATTACAAGAAAAGAGCCGTCATTGAATGCATTGGAATTCATTCAATATTTTCATAATGTTCGACAGCCTGTAGATTTTGAAAAAGAAAGCACAAAATAATAACTTTGAGATGTAGAGAAGGCAAATTTGTCCCCAGTTTCTTCTGAGTTCAGGTTCTTTCCTCGGCGACAATCTTAAAGGGTCTCGGACGGTTGACAATGGCGCTGAAGCTTGGTTCTGTAGATGGCATCGTGGCACCCTCTGGTAGACGGAAGCTGAATCTTTGCATGAAGACTGTGATGAAAATGAAGAGTTCCATCTTTGCCAGAGATTCACCCAGGCATTGACGCTTCCCTGCGGCAAACAAGAAGAACTCCTTGTTCTTTCAAGAAGGCCCAACTTAAATGAGAATGTCGTATTTAAGAGAAAGATCCTTTCATGGGAGCTTGGGAGGGCTTACAGGCCTACATATGACAGAATATAGATGCAATAGTTTCCATGCAGGGTAGTCCTATGATAATGTGCTCAATGTGCATAACAGTGAAACACATCTATAGAAAATATTCATATGCAACGTTATGCAGTGTTAATTATGCTTGTTTCATTCTGTTTACAACATTTTTGCAGGATACTAAATATTAAAATAAAATACGAGGGCTTGACGTAAATCTTAACGTAAATCTAAACAAGGGCTTGACGTAAAAAAAAATGTTCATGAAAGGCTCAAAAATTCTGAAATTGTGTTGGTTACTATGGACAAAAAGGTGGGTGTAGCTGCATCAGGGCGCCATAGTGATGTAGTAGAGCAATTAGCCGTTTTTCGAGAACTATATGGGAGGTTATTCGTTTCTAATAAGTCATCAGGTCGCAACTCGAGCAGGAAATGGAGCAAGGTTGTAGAGGAGTCAAGAACGTTATGAAGGAAGTTACTAACTGAGAAATCTGCAATTCCATGAACGCAGACCGGGTGGACTTCTCTGGGCTATACTTGAAAGTTGTCTGAACTACTTCGACACTCAACTGTCAGCAGTGAAGCAAGACGCCAGCACCGCGACTGTTTGACTCAACCACTTCGTGCTTGGATTCTCGCGACTTTTTGCCAGTTGCATAAGGATCTGTTCCACCTGTGTCTTTGCTTATACCACCGAACTGAAAAGTTCATTAGTATTGCAACTTTACTCCTTTCTTTATCAAGTATGCATTTTGCTTTACGTCAATATTAAATCCTACTCCTTCGGGATGAAAAAATTAACTACTGCTGAATACCTCTTCACGTCACAGGGACACAAGCAAGGCGATTGAGAGCGAATAACCTGCATGATAACGATAATTAAAAAATCATAAACATTTCATAACGTGCCACATAAGTATTCTCCAGCAAATGTGTGCCTCTGCCTTCAGAATCCATGTGTATATCAAAACAGCACGTTGTAGGATCTATTCTAATTGACAAGTTAGGCATCGTGATCTATATATACTGTAATTCTGCGTCGTCACGTTTCCGAGTTCAGAATCAGCCCTTATTTCAGGCTGAGTTCTTGCCGATCTTGCTGGAACCTCGAGGAAGTTCAGGCGAGAATCAACCATAATTTTGGATTCCTTGTATCAGACTCGATAATGCCTCGATTTTTTTAAATGAATATCTAGCAGTATTGATGTTATTCAAAATCAAGAAGGGGGGGGGGAGTATTCATGGAAAAAAGAGGGGAAACGGGTGGGGTCTGTGCTCTGGACGCATTAGACCATTTTGCTACTCACTGCCTGAAATTGATGAGGAATTTGATAGATTTGAGAAATTAGGAATTTGACTTCTCTGGATTGCGACAGTAACTCACGCGGAGCTCTATGGAAGTGTAAGGTCATCTAGACCTAATATCCTTTCAATTCAATTCCAGCACTATCTTTTCTCCTTCCCTTGCGCATAGTTACACAAAGCTCTCATAAGGTATTTTTAAAAATGGCAAAATATATAATATTTTCAAGCCAAACTATTTTTTCACGGATTTATTTCTCACAAATGAGGGTCATGTTAGATCCTAATGCAAAAGAGGGAATGACAAGAACGCAACCGGACCATAACTCATGAAGGAGTGATCAATTCGGACACCTGTTCCTACGAGATAGAAAGTAGTTGCCATCTCCCTGGAATACCTCACTAGAATACAGACTGAATGCAACTTTCCATTCGGGTGCAGTACTCAAGTTCCAGGAAATCCTTCTCGAAGGGGTCGACAAATGCAAGGGCACAGAGGCACTCTAGAAAGTTGAACCCTTGACCCATTCTCCCACAACCACCCTCGATTTTCCTGCCGACCAACTGTTATTAACCCTATTCCCCAAAGCACTATCCTATACGCGCATTTCGTATCCTGCTCTGAGCGACCTGACTACGACACAAAAGATTGTCAATATTTTATTTAGATTAGTTTATCGTTTCCTTTGCAGAAAACAAAACTCACCGAGAGAAAAGGGAAGGAAGCTGGGAATCTTGGTCTTGAGAGTCCCATCACTTTCCAAAAATCGAGTCGGATCGAATTTGAAGGGATCAGGCCAATATTTTGGGTCGAAATGGCAAGCCCACAGGTTCCCCATAACAATGGTACCCTTAAATGACGAAACAAATTACAAAGAAGTCTTGGTTTTAACATGAAATTCAAATATGAGAGAAAACGTACCTTGGGGATCGTGTATCCCGCGAATTCCACGTCTTGATTCGTGCAAACGCCATTTGGGTACCCCCGTTGTAACCGTACCGCAACTTGGAGGTACTACTTCCGAAGCCACATTCCGTAAGCTAGGGACAGGCGTTCACTACCTTCAGAGAGAGAAGGCTAGTGTAATAGGTGAACCGCCTGAATCCTTTCCTGCACTTTCGGGTCCCGAAGTAGAAACAAAATGGCCCAGCGTGTCGTGTTGGCTGTTGTCTCGCTACCAGCGAAGAACAGATTTTGGATGTTCACTCTCAGCTGCAGATCTGTATGTAGTTCCCAACATATTTTATACCTTTGTTTCAAGAGTGGATTTAAATGGTTTCCAGGTCAAATGTGGGCAAAAAAAAGTCAAATGTGACGGAAAGTCAAATGCGTCGTAGTGGATGTCCGATTTTAGGGAAAAGCTTGTTCGACGTAGGAAAGTCAAATGCGACAGATACACTAGGTACACCATGCCCGTGTTAGGGGGTGCCTTCTCGTTGTATTTTCGCAATGTACGGCTTCAAGTACATTTGCATATGATGCTCCGATTGCAAATAACATTATTTTGGAATTATCAAAACGTCAGGGTCAGTCCTGGGAACACCTAATAGTTTCGCTGCAGTGGAAGTAGCCAGAAAATGTAATGATTGACTATTCATTTTTAATTAACTTCATTTTATTGAGATTTTTATCACCAATAGGTCAACTTGATCCCACGATACCAGTTGCACAATGAAAAAAAAAATCCAGCCGATGGTTTAGGAGAGCCCAAATCATCCTTTCAGTTTTTTCATATGTGGAATCTGGCCTCCCGCTCCAAAAATGGTGGCTGGTTGCATTTTCATATGACTATCCCTGACAAATCAGTAATTGCCAAATAATATTATTTGCAAAAGGAGCAATATATGTAAATGCGCCTGAAGCTGCACGTCGTGAAAATGCAACGACAAGGCAAATCTCCCCAAAACGAGTATGGTATACCTTGCGTATCTGTCGCATTTGACTTTCCTATGTCCAACTAGCTTATCCATGAAATCCAACTTCTACCACGGCGACGCATTTGACTTTTCGTAATGTCACTTTTGACGCTCCCCAGCAGCACAGCGACGCATTTGAGTTTCCTTGTCGCATTTGACTTTCTTATTACGACATTTGACCTAGAAAACCTATAGTATCATGCAATTACCGGAAAAATGTTTATTGACTTCTCCTCGGCTTTGCTGCGCTTTCATCTCCTGAAGATAGGCATCGATGTAGTCTCGGATGTTGTCTGGGTCAAAATTATTTTTGTGCTCATCCACCTTTCCCTGCAAAATCAATATCAGGCATGACCATGGTAGTCACGATTACGTGAATTCCGAGAAGGTCATGTGAGATTTTAGCGTCCACCTTGAAGCCGGCGATGATGCCTTCGATTCGGTTCTTGACTCGTCGGTAGGCTTGAAAGGCAGGTATATACAGGTATTTCAAAATAGGGACGAATTGGATTGGGCCCAGAGTCCGAGCGTCTTCCAAGTTCAGCGTCAACAACTGCATGAAATTGGCCATTCGCACATCTTCGTGAGGATACTGCTCGTCTATAGAGGCAACAAGGTTTGTTTTGCCTTCTACGTTAGATGAGATGTCACTGAAAGATGAAGAGAAATCTAAGGAAACTGACCGGCAGTCATCTTCCAAATGACGTTCAGAACGGCGACATTGACTGAATAATCCAGATCGAACGGGTCCTTGGCCTTCTTCTTGAAAACATCACAGAGTGCCAAGGCTTCGTTGCTTATGATCCCATCTAAGGTTGTCTTACCGAACCCGAAATCTCTCAAAGTCCTCATCGTGAAGCGTCGATTGTCCTGCCAAAGCGATCCGTTCCCCGTCACGATTCCTGTTTCCAAAGTTTATTTCATGTCAGTCTCTCTTACCCTATTGAATCACAGTTACAGGAATAGACATTGATGATACTTATTATAGGTACGGGGGTGTTCAAATTTAACCTGGACTTTTGTTCATAAAAGGCAGAGTAATCCATGCAGATTAATAATTATTGGGAGAATTTGTTTTCATAGTGTTGTTAATCCATACCCGGAATTGCATGTTTCCCGCTTTAATACATTTCCTGAAAATCAAGATGGCGGCAAGAGAGATAATGAGGAAAGTGGGATAGTGAATAATTATGAAATTACTGACTAATGAAAGTACCAAACCTAATTAAATTTATGGAAAATTGTCTGCACAGTATGTCGATGACTGCCTTTCAAGGACATCCGTATTTGACGGGTGCAAATAATATAAAGTAGGGTGTGAAAGCGTACAGAGTGAAACACATGCTGCAAGACCGGCCGCTGAGTTCAACAACAACGCGAACATCAAGCGAGTTGAGAATCTCATTTTGCCTGACGGAGGAGTTTCTTCTCACAGGCAATCACCACCATACTGTGCGGACAATTGTCTGTAAATTTCAATAGATGTAATGTCCTCGTCGACCAAAAATTTCATAACGATTCACCATTCCACCTACTTTGCCACCTCAATCGCCGCCATCTTGATTTTCAGCACATGTATTGAAGCAGGAAACACGAGATTGTGGGTATGGATTAACAACACTATGTAAACACATTATCCCAAAAATTATTAATCTACATGCATACCCTGTCTTTTATGTACAAAGTCCTGGTCAAATTTGAACACCCCCCGTATGTGAGCAACTGCGTTACCGACCATTATGACCAGAGGATCCCAGGCGAATGAGGACCATGTCCGGCCGATCCGTGAATTCGGGTCGAGAGAATGCATCTCTTATGAGTTCCCAGTTGTTAAGCACGACTTGTTCCTTCGAAGCCAAGGTCACGCTGATGATATCTCCGTACTTTTTCCTCAATCGCTCGAAGACCGAATAAGGCGGTTCCTTGAATAGGAACGGAACGTAGCCCAAGAACGGCACGCCCCATGGTCCTGCAATAGATTTCAAGACAATGAACTCAAATGTTGATACATCCTCTAACTCTAACTTAAGCTTAGCTTTCCAGTGCCTTCAAGTCATACAGGGCTTTCGAATGACATGAACATTTTCCAGTCTAATATTATGCGCTGGCTGTGACTACGTCTTATCTGGTATATCGTTGTCAGGTTTCCGATGAAGCACATATATTCATTTTTTTTTAAATAGGAGAAATTGGGTTACTTACCAGGGGGCATTTTCCTCCATCGCTGGAACTTTTGAATGAAGTCATAGATGATGAAAGCCACCAAGGCTGTCACCAACAGGGAGAACGCACTTATCATCTCCCTAAAACTCTTAGTGCATCCCAGGTCTTAGAAACTGTTGCAGATGAAAGTCAATGTTGGTAAAGTTTCCTTCATTACGATGGAAGGAAGAAGTGAGACGTACAGGGTATTGATAAACCTTTTGCTAGAGGGTCCAGGAAAAAAAAAACGAAAACAGCACAAATAAAACCATTGAACGGAGCAGTCTCACGGTCTCTTCGAAAGTCTCGTTTCGATGAGATCTACCTGCTCCGATAATACCCATCGCGTTTGCAGGCCAATGCCAGGCGAATGGCGGGCACACGGACTATTAATGTCACTGGATCCGAAATAAATTACTTTCAATTTGATGGAGTGATTTTATTTGTGCTGTTTTCAGTTTTTTTTTTATGGAACCCCCCAAGCAAAAGGCCCCGCCGTACTGAGGATATTTGGCGCCCTGTGCGACATATTCCCGCCCCACCCCCCCCCCCCCCCCGCCCCCCCCCTCCCC